GTTACATTACCCTTAATCATGCCCTAACAGGCCTCCCACACCCTCCTCACCACCAATTGGGATCACTTGTTCCCTTGTCACTGGGTTTGTTAACACCACTTCCTTTTCCCCCACCTCCCCCTCTCCCATGTTCCCCCTGAAATGTGGGTCCCATTGTTTTCTCCTCCAAATTGTTCATCCAGCCTATCTTATTTAGTCAGACCCAAAGTTTTAAAGATAGGGACGCACCAAGCTTCGGGAGGCGCAGTGTCCCTCCGGAAATCCAGAGAAAGGGAGAGAAGGGAACTAGAAGAAGGAACACTGGAGCGCACACCCCAACAGCGAAGACCAGAGAAGCAGGAACTGGTGGCCTGCGGCAACACCCTGGCAAAGACTGTTAGGAAAATACCAGAGGATGCCCCGCCCGCCTACATTGCTCAGAAGCCCGGGCCCTATTCAGAGCTACATCTGTAGGGAACACTTCAGAGCCTCCTGGTCCGCAGACCAAGGGCTCTGTGGGAGGCCCAGGGAAGGCTGGGGTGGAGAGGGGGAGGCCTCTGGTTAACCCTTTGATAACCGAAGAGTTTCCAGGCCCATTCAAATGACGGAATAAAAACTTCCCTGGCTCCCCTTTGTGTGTGTGTGTGTGTGGGTGTTCCAGAAAGGGGCACAGCGGGAAATTAGGACGGAGAAGGGGCAAAGTGAGAGAGCTAGCAGAGGGCGGGGTCGGGCCAACAGGCTCGGGTTCCCGGGGCGGGGCAGCTAGAGGGGAAGCGCCTGGGTTGGAACCCCCCTCTGCAGACATCCCTGCCTTCCCGTTTGCAGACGGAGGAGGCCAACTCCGCCTGCTTGAGTCACAGCTGGGGCTGGGGAGGAGCCGGGGAAAGGCGGCCCCAGTCCAGAGCGCATCCAGCGGTGGCACGGAGCGCAGACCGTCTGGGATCATGGGGGAAAGCACCCTGGAACCCAGGCCTGTATCGGGGGCACAGGTGGAGGGCCCTGTGCACGCCGTGACGGTGGTGACTTTGCTGGAGAAACTGGCCACCATGCTGGAGGCGCTGCGGGAGCGGCAGGGCGGCCTAGCACAGAGGCAGGGCGGCCTGGCGGGCTCGGTGCGCCGCATCCAGAGCGGCCTGGGCGCGCTGAGCCGCAGCCACGACACCACCAGCAACACGCTGGCGCAGCTCCTGGCCAAGGCGGAGCGCGTGGGCTCCCACGCCGACGCCGCCCAGGAGCGCGCCGCGCGCCGCGCCGCCCAGGTGCAGCGGCTGGAAGCCAACCACGGGCTGCTGGTGGCGCGTGGGAAGCTCCACGTCGTGCTGTTCAAGGTTAGTGACCTCACCTGTCCCCCCCTCCCCAAATCCGGGGCCCTTTCCCGCCGTCGGGGTGGCGGGACTCCCCCCGCCCCGCTCCAATCCCCTGCCGGACACACCCACATTCCTGACCCCACCCACCTGCCCGCTACTGGGGACGGCCTTCCAAAGCCGCACCCACTAAACCTCCCCCTAACCCCCCCCTCTCCTCCAGCCCGTTGTAGCGTGAGCCCAGCGAGGCCGATCGACGCCGGCGGGGCCCTGTTCTGGCCACGTCCACAGAACTTGACCCAAGTTCCAGTTTTCCCCTAAACGCAAAAGGCGGTGGGTGGTGGGAGGGCAGTCCGCGACCATTCGTGGCCCACTTCAGTCCTTGTCCATCCTCGCCCCGGGCATCTGGTCGTCTCCGCCTAGGTTCTGCCCGCCCCGGGCCCCCACTTGGGCCGGGGAGGTGAAATGTTGGGCGGGGTTCCCTTCGGTGACCCCGGAATGAGGCCTAGCTTTGCTCATCAATTGCAGGAGGAGGGCGAGATCCCAGCCAACGCCTTCCAGAAAGCGACCGAGCCCTTGAGCCCGGAGGACCAGGCCGAGCTGGGCCCGGAGCGGCCGGAGGCCGACGCGGGGGCGAGTTCGGACGAGGAGCCGGTGGAGTCCCGGGCGCGGCGGCTGCGGCGCACAGGGCTGGAGAAGGTCCAGAGTCTGAGACGGGCTCTCTCGGGCCGGAAAGGCCCTGCGGCGCCACCCGCGACCCCGGTCAAGCCTCCTCGCCTGGGGCCGGGCCGGAGCGCTGACGCTCAGCCCGAAGCCCAGCCCGCCGCCGAGCCCGCGCCCCCGCAGGACGCCCAGGAAGACTCCCCCAAAACTGATGCCGCGGAATCGGAAGCGGCTCTGCTCCAAATCCAGAGTGCGGCCTGAAGGCTGGGGCTTGCTGGTCCCGCCCGCGCGTGCCCACACCTGGTCCCAAAATAAATCCTTCCCCCAAAGGCAGCGCTCAGGCCCAAATAAGGAGGGGATTCTGCGTCCACAGCCCAGCTCAGGCCCTCCCTTCCGGGCTGCTTCAACCCAGTACCCCGTGTCGTCCACAGAAGGAGCCACGGCGCACGCGCCTGCTTGCATTCTCCACTGACCACCAATAAACCGATTTCACTGAATCCAGACTCCTTGTTAAAGGACAGGCCAGGCCAGGCTGGTGGGGAAGGCTG